GGCTCACAAATAGATTACTAAAATGTGAGGACAGCTAGAAAAATCAACAAAAGCTCAAACGCAAAAACACACATCCGATTTGATTGCACAGATGGAAGTATGCATTTCGGCCTGTCGTAAGAATCTTAAAGCTCGCAATATTTGTTAGAACGATGAGTGTATCCATCACTGTTCGAATTTATCAGTTTGATCTTCTGATAAGATGCTTATATCAGCGTGTTGGATCGGAAGGAAGTGATAAATGTGAAATAGTCAATCACATTTTATATTCTGCTATTGCTCTACCTTTTCTAAGGTTTAATTATTGGTCTTCATAGGTCAACATTCCAACTGTCCTTCCTAAAATTTTCGCTAAGTCATTTGGTTATTTTATACAAGTTATTTATCAATTGTTAAAATATCGAACTCTTCCACTTCTGACTTCTTAGATTAGCGTCTACTTTTGAAACAATCCCCTTTTTAAAACATAATTTAATTGATTTGCATCTAATAGATTCTAAAAATCGAACTTTGAACCTACTTATTAATGTCATCCTCCTTTCAGTATTTACATCAGCATTCTGTTGTTACCGGCCTACGCCTTGCTTCTTTTATTGCGCCTGTCTTATCACAGGCTGAAATTTCTTTGACTTTTAGATTCTTTATTGTTCCAGGAAATTGGAAAAATTATTTTCCATCATTAAAGCAATTTTCCACATTGGTTTAATAACACATCCTCTAAACAATTCTCTTGTTGATAACATTGTGGTTATCAATCAAATAACAGAATATTACAATTAAATAGTTGAGTAATTGAGTAATTCATTTGTTGCTTCAGTTATTCAATCCCTCCAAATTCAAATGACGAAAATTAGGTTTTGTCACTTTAATCTTTGATAATATATGAAGCTATTGTCGATGATCCATCAACGAATTCTTCGATAATTTGTCGTTTATCTTTCTTGTATAACAAAATTTTGGTCCCATTTTTTGTAAAACCTAATTTCTTAAAATTTTACTCATTTAATTCACATCAGAACATAACGATTATAAAGACACGTGGTTTTCAACTCTGTTACTATCTTTCTATGTAAGCATACGAATGAATACTTACATAAACATATGCTATCCTATTCTTTGCTTTCATTGCATGACAAAATCTATTCTTTCCCATCAGACATACCCGAATATCCCAGGTAACCCATTACAATCTACCTGAAAATGTTTCTACAACAGCTGCGTAAATAATAATGCGGCAGAAATGAATGCGCAAAAATTTGTTTACAAATTTCATTTTCATGCAAACATACGGAAATATTTGTTGTTATTGTTGCATTTTAAGAAATGAAAAGTTCCTATTCAATCATCACAATGAATTTATTCATTTCAATCAATTTAATTGTATAAAAATACGGAAAAGGTATTAAAACACACAAAATTAAAACAACAAAGCATAATTTATTGCGCTGTAAATTTTGGATTGTCTTAAAATTTTTTGAATATTCCTAAAAAATTAAAAAAAATAAAGCAAAATTTGTTATTAATTTTAACATTAGTACATTATAATGCGAATTTGTGCCAATATTTCTTTTCTTTTTCTTCTTAAAATTTAAGTATTAAAATTGTTACGACTTATTTGAACACAATTTTTATTACATATTTTGCTAAGACCTTCCCACCCTACCCTTTCCTTTCTTCTCCTCTCTTCTATCATTCATAACAATAATAATAATCTTCAGTTTTCTTATCACTAAAATAAATAATCCTTCTAAACTATTTGTTCGGCTATTTCTATTCTCACATATCACTTCAAAACTTGTCATTATATCAATTTATTCACATTTTTCAGTTTGTTTGTTTCAGTTATCATTTTTGTATTTTCATTGATAGTCCAAACTTCTCCTTTTCTTTTTTCTTTTAAAAATAATATTTACTCGAATTTTACAATGATATCAACTGTTATTCAATCTTCTACTTTAAATAAATATTTCTTATTTTATTAAGTACAAAAAAATATCTCTACTGTGTAATGCTTTTTAGTTTTACCATCACTTTTTAATATTATTTTGAATTCGATCAATTTTTCTTCTTTCTTACGTTTTCTAATTTTGTTTTATCTTTATAGTTTTTTGCTGATCAAAATGTCTGGCGAGAAAAAGTTTATTTAAAAAGCTTTGATTCACAATTGTGTGGAAAAATTTCGTTGGAATTGATAATTTCGAAAAAATAAAATCCAGGAAAACTGCACAATTTACATATTTCCAGATATTTTTAAAATAATTTTGTTTTTTGTTTTGAAAAAAAAATTTCTTTTTAAAATAACGCAAGGCTATTAAAGGTAAAAATCTTGAATAAATTTGATAGAATATGAATGACAGATGATGGAAAGCAAAAATTTCAGCCTTTCACTATTTGCAAATGAATTTTCAGAACAAAATTTTAGGTTTAAAGCTTATATTTGATGATATTAATGAATTCAATAATGACCGTAATTGTGAAATTTTGATAAATGTAAACGTTACTTGCTGTTTGATAATGTTATCTCTTATCAGTATTGTATTATATTATTTGTATTGCAAGCATGCAATTCATAAATTTTGCAGGTGATGATGATTGTATTAACCATATTTTGGTTATTATTACCTATTCTAGCAACTAGCCTGCGATGTATAAATGGTGGTGAATGGGTTGCACATGACTGCACCATGGATGCGCAATGCGAACCGTACAAAATCAAGCCAACTGATCGTGTTGCATGTATTGGCTCGGAATGCTGCACAATGCCATGTTCAAATAATGGTACCTCTACAGGGAAAAGATGCGGAACATCATATGATTGCTTACCGTCAGCAGAAAAAGTTGCATGTCTTTCAGGAGTGTGTTGCACTGTAAGAATATCAAATAAATTGCTGAATGAAATGGTTGAATGAAGTAAAATGAAGGTATAGAAAATGAAAGGTTAGATCAAAGATTAGGAAAAAAATCAAACAAAGACATTGATTGATACCGATGTTAGTGTTCAAAGGAGGGCAGCATTAACTAGTAGGTTCAAAGTTCGATTTTTATTCCACATCTTGAAATAAAAAGAACGGAGCAATGACTCTTATGTTTAAGTTTCAGGTGCCTCAGCAATGTCCATATAACGGTGAAGTAATTGGCCTGGAATGTAATACCTCACAATCGTGTCAATACTTGGCTCCTGGAACTCCGGTATTGTGTATACAACATGTATGTTGTGCCTATGCTGCTAATTATTTTTCTGTTCATTTCGCCTAAAATTCCGAATGACAATAAATCTTTTTTTGTGATATTCCTCGTGAACATTCGATTTTGTTTCGTTAAATGGAATAAAAGTGAAAAATGAAATGTTCACGTAAGCTTGGTTCAATAGAAGCTGCTATAGCTCAGTGACTAACTTTTGAATCTAATGTTGTTACGATGATTCATGTAAATGTTAATCATCGAAAGAATGCATTATTATCAGCGTTATCATTCATTTATTCAGTATTTTGGGAAATTTCTGCATTATCAAGGGATAATTAGACTTTAGATAAGCAAACTAATAATATGAATAATCGCTAAATTAGAAAGAACTGATAAAAATAGGTCAATTGAGAAGCCGAAGAACCGAGAAAAGAGTGACATATGAGAATCTATTAGATGCAAATCAATTAAATTATGTTTTAAAAAGGGGATTGTTTCAAAAGTAGACGCTAATCTAAGAAGTCAGAAGTGGAAGAGTTCGATATTTTAACAATTGATAAATAACTTGTATAAAATAACCAAATGACTTAGCGAAAATTTTAGGAAGGACAGTTGGAATGTTGACCTATGAAGACCAATAATTAAACCTTAGAAAAGGTAGAGCAATAGCAGAATATAAAATGTGATTGACTATTTCACATTTATCACTTCCTTCCGATCCAACACGCTGATATAAGCATCTTATCAGAAGATCAAACTGATAAATTCGAACAGTGATGGATACACTCATCGTTCTAACAAATATTGCGAGCTTTAAGATTCTTACGACAGGCCGAAATGCATACTTCCATCTGTGCAATCAAATCGGATGTGTGTTTTTG